AAAAAAACTAGCCATTTTACAGAAAAATTAGGGGAGCTTACATGAAGGAGGAGTAAAATAAGAGGCAAGAGTGTCAGTGTAGAGAACAATAGGGGCCAAAACAGTCACTAGCAATAAGAACAACACTGGCTTTCTAAATTTCATCTTCATCTCTACAGTGCACCTCTCTTAATTCCTTCTCAGCTTAGCAGCAAAACTTCAGATCTCATTCACCACAGATATCAATACTCAATTGAACCTAAACAAAAACGTACAAAGAAAATTAAGACAAAAATTGAAGGTAAATCAAGGAAAATTACATGAAAAGCAAACTCAATTTCACTAAAAAAAATCTGTATGGATTGTTGTAGAATGTATAGTAAAGTACCATACTGTTCCAGTACTGTAAGTAAACCCAAATTGGTGATTTGTAAAATAGCACTAAAAATGGTGGAAATTAAAGAGGAGAACTACCATGAAATTAACCTTCAAAAACCAGAATTTGGCAATGGATTGGTGGCTGTAAGAGAGAGAGAGAGAGAGAGAGAGAGAGGAGAGAGAGAGAGAAGGGCGTCGGTGAGCGCAATGATGTGATCCGAAGAGTAATGATAGTAGTACCCTCAAGGAAATAAATGAAAATCAAATACTCCTATCGCTTTGATTGGTATAAATTAGCATATAAAATAAAGATTTAAAATTAATTATTTATAAAAATTACTAGACAAATTAAAAAATATATACTCCCTCCGTTCCAATTTATGAGAACATGTTTGACTGCGTACAAATTTAAGAAAAAATGAACACTTTTAGACTTTGTGGTCCTAAACAATTCAAAAAGGGCCCAAAGTATTTGTGTGGTTATAAAAGCTTCTCATTAATTAAGGGTATAATTGTATGTTTAAATTAAATTGTTTCCAAATTTAGAAATTGGTCATTCTTTTTGGAACGGACAAAAAAGGAAATAGGTTCACATAAAGTGGAACGGAGGGAGTATCACTTAGCTAGCGTTTGGACATAGATTTGATTAAATTTTGAATTTGTGTTGAAAAATAATTTTTAAAAGTTAAAGTTGTGTTTAGATATGCATTTTATTTGAAGAAAAGTAGAAGTTTTATGAGTGGAAGAAATTTTTTTACCAAAATTGCCCTAAATTAATTTTTAGGAACTTGAAAATTTTTGAAGTTTTTTTTCCTAAAATATAATTATTTTTTATAAACAAATAATATTTTTAATTTTTTAAAATAAAAAATAAAGCCAAAATCTATGACCAAGTATGAGCTTAAATTGAAAGAGAGGATGTCGTTGAAAACAATCAATTTACTCCCTCTGTTCCAGTTTATGTGAACTTATTTCTTTTTTGATCCTTCTAAAAAGAATGCATCCTTTTTTAAATTTGGTAATAATTTAGTTTAAACTTACAATTCTACCTTTAATGAGAAGATTTTATAACTACAAAAATACTCTGGGGCTTTTCTGACTTGTTTAGGATCACAAATTTTAAATTTTTTTATTTTTTATTAAACGTCGTACCGAGACGAAGAACATCACATAAATTGAAACGGAGGAAGTACGAATTAAGAGTGAAGTAGTACTATATTTGCTAAATGTGGAAGTGGAGTGGTTTCTGTGATGCATATGATTTTGAACAAGCTGTCACCGTCCGCACAGCGTTATGCTCGTCCCCTTGTCTTTTTTGACACCTTGGCCATTTCATGATTTTATATTTGTGTTCTAGAAAAAATAAGTAGGAAGAATTTCTTTCCAACAGCCCCACATATTATTTATTTGTTTTTGTTTTTTTTTATAATTTTCTTATTATCTCGTTGGTGTTACTATTTGTTAATATATTTTTTTTTTAGCCAATGATCTATCGAAAACAGTTTATTGAGTTTGCGTAAATACTATTCTTCGAGACCCCACTGGCCACCGATGAGATTACATTGAGTTTACTGCTGTTGTTGTAACCACACATATTATTCGAGATTTTCGAATTACCCCTATAGTCAAGGGAAATACCCAAAAGTCTTTTGAGCACTTAGGTTTGTTTAGTGTAAAGACAAATTTATGCATGGATTAATAATACATAAATTATAATACAAAGATTTGTGATACTTGAATTTTTAGATATTTAGTTTGATATATAACGACTAGTATATAATGGATATTTTCGAATATACATTTAGTTTTTAAACGAAATACGCGTTTTTTAAAAAGTACTATATATATTCTCGCATAACTTATGCAGATGTTATTTAGGAGAAAAGTAAAATTACAACCGAACAAGATCTTGAATTATGCTGAAATTTATACAGAGTAGAATTCTTTTTATTCAAGCAACCCAACGGCTTCAACAATAATAATGTTAGCCTAATACTTAAGTTAGAGACGAGGGACATACCTCGATAAAGCACCGCAATCATATTCCAAATTCAAAATACTGGGAACCAAAATTTGCTTAATAAAGAAGACAACCACAAAAAATTATTTTTTTTCGACACGAAAGGGAAAAATATGAGAATTTTTGTTTAGGCTGTTCATATCATCCATACATAATATTTTGGTTTAAGATTTCAATTCTTCCTTGTTTCGGCAGAAGTTGGTAGATTAAGAACAAAGGGACGTTCAATAAACCTAAATGAACCTGGTAAAAAGTTATCGGAATATAAAAAGTACATTAAAAGTTTACAAAATTAAAATAAATTAAATAAAATATATAGCATGTTTTAAGGTATAAATAATGTAATATCTTATAAAAAGGTATAAATAATGCAATAACATTAAAGTTATTATGAGATACAAATCACTATAATGTCTTAACTTTTAAACAATTTTAAAAATCGTTAAAAATATTATCAAATTACACATTTTACCTAAGATGCTAATTAGGAAATTCGGCACATCTCCAAGCGGCTAATGCTATACGTGTTTAGGGGGCGCAGTTGGGCGTTTGCGCGTAAGCCTCACATAAGTAAGCTTCGCACATGAGCTTCAGCATTTTGCCCGGCAAAGTCCCAGAAACAACAACAACAACAACAACAACAACAACCCAGTATAATCCCACTTAGTGGGGGTCTGGGGAGGGTAGTGTGTACGCAGACCTTACCCACTTAGTGGGGGTCTGGGGAGGGTAGTGTGTACGCAGACCTTACCCACTTAGTGGGGGTCTGGGGAGGGTAGTGTGTACGCAGACCTTACCCACTTAGTGGGGGTCTGGGGAGGGTAGTGTGTACGCAGACCTTACCCCTACCCTGGGGTAGAGAGGCTGTTTCTAAATAGACCCCCGGCATCCTTCCCTCCAAGACTTCCCACCTTGCTCTTGGGGAGACTCGAACTCATAACCTCTTGGTTGGAAGTCGAGGTTGCTTACCATCAGAGCAACCCCTCTTGTCCCAGAAAAGCCTTTTAAAATACTAGGATTTGGAGTGTTATCATATTTAATTGCATACTCATTAGTCATTATAGCTAATGATTTTTATTGTTTTATTGTAATAGTAATAATTGTACTAATAGCCATAACAAGCCTCCTCAAATCCCAAGTACTTTAAACAAATTTTACTTACACTTCTAAAAGAACAAAAAGAGTCTAACCATCTGCCTAATGAGAAATGCATCATAGACGCAATTCATTCATCTTTTACGTTTAATACGCATTTGAGCTTAATCGTGAGTGCAAAAAGAGATGTTTTTTTTTTGTTTAACCATCCGATATCGATAAGGCCGATTAACTCGGATTCGCACCGAATAGACCTAATAAGAGGTAAAATGCTCCATATCTAATAAGTTTTCCGTGCCCGATCGAGGATCAAACCTGAGACATCTAGTTAAAGATAAAGAAATTTTAACCAGTCACTAAACCCATTTGAAATTCTTGAAGCTTGAATCCCTTTCAGCCCAATCAAGCAAAAAAAACTTATTCAATAAATACCGCTAACCGCTTTTAAGAGATATTGCTCGCTCATGATAAAGATGAAGAAATTTCAACCAGTCATTAAACCCATTTGAAATTCTTGAAACCTGAATCCCTTTTAGCCCAATCAAGCTGAAAAAACTTATTCAATGAATATTGCTAACAGCTTTTAAGAGACGTCACCCGTCCATAATAATGATGAAGAAAGGCACAATTAATAATCTGTGTGATGAAATCTTGAAATACTTCAAGTCTTTGCCAATAATAACAGTGTTTGTGATGGAGTAATATAATACTGATCATCCACCAAACTCCAATTAAGTTCCATCTTTGGTATCATCCACTTGGAATTTCAATTGCTCGTCTTCAATTTTATTCATTTTCAGCTGACTATCATGAGATGACTGGTCAGCAGTACCTGTGGTCGACAAATTCTCCGCGAAAAATTGATCAATTAGATCGAGATCGAGGTCAAGGTCAAGGTCGAATGCCTTAATATTAGTATCATATAAATCATGACCGCAGGAATTGGATGTAATAGTAGTAGTAATAGTAGTGGCGATATTATTGTTGTTGCAACTGCAAGTTGTGGGAAAAATCGAAAGAGTTTCAACAAGATCATCGTAATCATATGAGGTGGAGCAGCAACAAGCCGTGACGAATGTACTATCTAAGCATAATTCATCAATTTCTGCTCCGAAATTAACATCTTCGCCTTTTTTAAGCCATGGAAAGTCGAAAACTCCAATTTCTCCTTTTTCATTGTCATCATAAGTTGTTTCCATACTATTCTTCCGGCCTCCAGGGTCGTTACTATTCATCATCTTCTCCAATTTGTAACTATTTCCATCGTCATTACCATCATCATTATCTGTCGTCGTTGTCATAACTTGCCTCTTCTTCCTCTCATTCGTCGTCTTCTTCATCTCTTTCTTCTCGTGATCCCACGTTTGATCTTTTCCTCTCTTTCTCTTCTCCGTCCTCTCCATTTTTATGAATTATTCAGATCAATATAGTGATGAAAGAAGAATGAATAAATAATAGTAATATTTTGAGGGCCGTGTGAGCAATTGGTTCCTACATCTGGAACGGTATCTCCCTAAAATACGCATTGCAAAAAGTTTAATTTGTTATAACTTGACATGACACATTCCCGTGACTATACAAAATTTCTTTCTTTTTTCCCTCCTTAAATTGCTCTCTTCTCCTCACTCTCCATACATATTTGAGAGATACTTTTGTCCTCCCCTCAATTTTATTTATTTTTTAAAATTTTAAAAAAGTAAATTAAAGGAGGGCAGTTGAAATCGAATTTCACGCGCTTCTTAAATACACATGATTTTTCGGCGAAAATAGCACGAGCTAGCCAGTTTTCGAACTGGTAATTAAAAAAAGCCAACGTTTGCAAAGTCATTGAAAAATAGTCACTATTTAGCTGCAACACCGAAAGTTTCAGCATAATATACTGGAGATTGGTGTACCTGTGTGTGAACTTCCAGCATATTATGCTGGGACTCCAGCACACGGAAAGTTTCAGCATAATATACTGGAGATTAGAGCACCAATGTATGAACTTCCAGCATATTATGCTGGAAGTTCACATGTAAAAAACTCGAACTCCAGTATATTATGCTGGAATATTTCGGATTTTGAACAATATTTTCGTTCAGATTTATCTTTACATGAAAAGTGATTAAATTTCGATTACTTTT